ATTTCTCTAATCAAAATGTAGAGATCTGTTTGCTCCCTAGGTCAGAAAAGCTAAAGATCAGAAATGTGTATACTGATTCTGTTCTAGCTAGAATGAGTGGTCCGGATCAGAAACACCATGGAGCCTGCATTAGGAAGATTCACTACACAACATTAGTGTCTAAAACAAATCCACAAACAATTAGGTTTTCACCTCCAACCTTTTGGTTCCAGTCTTGTAACTGAATGCCTGGAATTTAGTCATATTCAATAATTTCATTTCGCCCCCCCCAGTTTAGCTTTAAAACTGCCTGGCCTTTGAGAAATGGTGAATAACAGAAACCAGAAAACTCATAGCACTCTATATTAATCAAAGCAGAAAATTCAATCAGTATATATGCAGAATCACCAAAGAATCTATAAAGAAAAGCGAGAGGACTGCTCTGATCAATGTCATGACTCTTCATTCTGGTTATTTCAGCCTTATGGTGATTTAGAACACAGCTCCTGGGACTCTGCCCTAAGCATCAAAACACTTTTGGTTTTGACATCCTCCAAAGTTCAAACTGTGCAAAAGCATGCAGGAAAAAGCTTACATTAGAAATAAATAAAACCCATGCTATTACTCCTAACTACGTGAAAAAATTTTATGTGTATAAACAGAAAACAAGACTGAAAGAGGAATGTTGTGATCCAAATCAGAGCCTCAACACAGAGAGATGTCACTGCAATGAGTTCATCCAGTTTCGGGAATCCTGAATGCCCCTGAGCTAACCTCTCAGTGAATTTGCCATTCCAACTGTAAAACATGGAGAACCTTAAATTATCAGAACATCCAATATAGTAAAGCGTATAAAGGATGTTTACCCATGTAAGAAGTGTAAACATGACTGCAGCTTATAATTATTGTTAATCTATGAGTCACAGAAGCATAAACATTCTATTTGCTCAGCATGAAAATCAGATTCTCAGCCGTGTGTAGAGCTCTAAGGCGGCATCTTCCGTATCACGGCGGATATCGGATGATTTCATTGGGGAAAATCAACGTTACGGGGTTTTTTTCCCCTTTTGTGTTGCACAATCAACAGAAAAGAAAATGTGAACCACTATTGATTTTTTTCAGCCTACAGCAGCAAGAGATTCACTTAGTAATTTCTAATCAGTTCTGCTTAGGTAAATCAGCTCAAGGCAATGGAACACTTTATAAGCATCCTTAGGTCATGGCTTAGTCTCCAGGACAATAAGTGGTGACTTAAGACAACGGGGAAAAATCCAGCTTGATTGGCTGAACAACGTCTGGAGTTCACAAGTTAAAAAAAAACAGCTTCTGGCAAATCGAGCATACGTCACTATCTGGAAAATGACAGGACACTCCCCCCCCCATGTTCAATAGTCTAGTCCACACAGAATTACACTTAAAATATAGAAACTCATTCTTATATTGTCTGCACTAATGTTACAGAGGTGTAACTACTACATTTAGAGGAATTATTCTTACCAACTTGTGCTTCAAAATGAATTTTTAAATATATATGTACGTCTATGCACACAATCTGATGTAAGTATAATGTTCACCTTTCCTTCTTCCTAGTTTCTGAGGATCTACTTCATCTGCTTTTTGTTTCTAGGTAGTATCTAATCACTTTTGTTCATACGCTACATGAGATATCCCATGCGTTATAATAGCTGGTTGTGATGTGCATAGAACTACTTATTCAAAATAACTTTGTTAAGATTTCTTTAACAAAATCTAATTTGAGGTTAACTTTTCCTCTCGTGGCTTTAATATCTTTTTAGAAAGAGTTAAAGCAAACTTCATTTTGTATTTCAAGTTGAGACCAGTCAGGTAGGGAAAAGTTTTTTCTTCATATAAAGCAGCGCAGAGCATACCTGTTTTTCATGCAATTATTTCCCAATCAGAATTACTGTACTTAATAAGCCTTAATTTGATTATCTAAAGTTTTCGTGCAATTATTTGCCAATCAGAATTACTGTACTTACTTAATAAGCCTTAATTTGATTATCTAAAACTGAAAAAGCACAAATATGCCACTCCACAGAGCAGCTGCTTTATCAGCAAATCTGATGAATGGCACACGAGAGGCAATCCAGGAAAAGCCAGGTACACTACGAAACACTCTTAAGCCGTGACTCATTCTTTTACAGCAGCTTCCTTTGCTGAATTCCCAGGAATTCCTCCGCATTTCAGAACTGACAAAAGGCAACAGTCATCTAAGGGCATTCCCAAGAACATACGGGATCAATTTCTTACTCAAGACTTACGCAGGCCAAATTTCCCTTAAGTCAGTGGTGTTTTCCTTGGGGGAGTGCTGGCTTTATCCAAAGCACTACTAATACCGAGTTTTCAGTAATCAGATGCAATGCTTGATTTTAGAACACTGATACAACACTACAAACATAGCTGCATTATAAGGTATTCTGTTTGATAGTGAACTCAATTTCCCCATGTTTGGTCTAAAGATATCACTGCCCCATCTGAGATGCTGGATTTCTGAGTTTCGTTGCAGTTTGCTGTTTGGCAGGAAACCAAACAGATTTCTCCATTACTAGGCCTTCATCATCAGACGTTTCTACACAATATTTTGACAGCACCAGCAATCTTGCTCCAAATATTTCACTTAGCTCTAGCTGTAGCACAATCATGCTGAAAATAGAAAATGAAGTCTATGTAGTTTTTTCACTTCTACTAATGTGTTGGAAAACTATAAAGAGCAGGCATTTTAAATCAGGAACTTTACTTTCTTCACAGAAAGAAAAAAAAAAAAGTATCTTAAGGCTGTAGGATATAACTCTATACAAGTAAAAAGCCAAAAATGGCTTTCCCTCAGCTTCCACAGATTCTTCACTGTCCTTAGTCATGGGGTATTTACATTATTTATAGGATGAAATAAACACACCACAGACCTGTATCTTAGACAAGTGTTTATCCTTTTCTGTCACACAGGATCTTCTGTGTACACAAAATCCAGTTATATTTTTAGAAATAGCTAAGCTAACGACGGACTATTTTGAATGTATTATTCCTAATCTTTTGGATAACCATTTCTAACATAATTGAGGTGACAAAATAACAACTTCCCACCTTAAAAAAGCTGATTTGAATTGTAGGGTAATTCATCTTGGAAAGGACCTCAGGAGGTCTGTAGCCCAAACTGCTGCTCAAAGAACTTCCAATGTTTGCTTACCCTTACAGGGAAATAGTTTTCCTTATATTTGGTTGCAACCTCTCTGGTTTCAACTTAAGCACATTGTCTTCATGAAAGGCTGAACTGCTGTATCTTGTATTTCATGTGCACCGATATGACCAGGCTTCCAATCCATCACCAGTATAACTGAGCGTCTCAACTTTGAAGTTCAATATCTTCTCCGTTCATGTTCTGATTCCTGTAAATTGTTTGACAAATCTTTAATTCCTGTGCCCTTTTACCCTGACACCTATGAGTAGCTAAGGTGCTAACGCAGGAGGCCGCTCGCTATCACCCTGACTTTATTATCAACTTTATTGGCTCTTTTGGTCCCCTCTACGACTTGCTAGTGGTAGTGATTTTCACTTGTGCTGTAATTGGACAAGACATGCTTTTTGGTCCAGAAACACCTTTTATGACTGTGCTGAACAGTGCAATAAGGCTGTGAGCGCACACAGAGCTCTGTGTGGTACGTGTGCCTACATATGCACACAACAAGTGTTATTACAAATAATAATCAAACGTAACCTAGGCTTTATTTTTGTACTGGTTTAAGGATTTTTCCTCCCAAGCTGTTCTACCAGTATGGTAACATAGGCATAACTAAACCAATCCAAAAAACACTTCCAGTTTATCACACTCCCCTCCTCCTATGAGAAATACTGCACCAGCATAACCTCTCTGCTAGCTACATCACAGTATCGTCTAGGTTGGAAGGGACCTTTAAGACCATCAAGTCCAACTATTAATCTAACGCTGCCTTAGTTAACAGGTTCTATCTCTACATAAAGAAGTTATCCACCACAGGGACGGCTGACCGGCACCTATTTGTTGAGAGTGGGGCAGCCTGTTTTACCCTCATCAACACCATTTCCACGAGCAATCCTGAGGGCATAAAACCACTAGCCAATGGCGTGAATTTTGACGACTGGAAGATTTTGGTCTCTTCGAAGTCCTTGCTAAGCAAGCTTCTCCTCAAAAATCTGCAAAGGTGTCCAGCCTTTGTAGAGAGCTCTGCTGCTCTGCCCGGCTCCAAAGCCACTCTCTTTCTACCAAGGCCGACCCAACGCACTACATGGGATTTCCTGGGGGTTTCTTCGCCCTTCCCGGCGGCCAGGCCCGCGCAGAGCCCCTGCTGCTGGGCCTGCAGGGCTGCCCACCGCCTCGGGAGGCTCGGGCCAGACAAGGTGGCAGGGCCGCGGGGCAGGAGGCCGCCCCACCATCCCAGGCCCCCGGCCCGGCCACCTCCGGGGCCCCTCGGGGAGGCGCAGCGGGCGGCCCGGCCGGCGGGGGTCGCCGCCGGGAGGGGAAGTCCCCTTCCGGGGCTGGAAATTCCCGCAGCGTTGCTGCTTTTCTTAATTGCAACGTATGGGTACATGTGTGAGACAGAAAGAGTGCATCCAGTCCACAGGGCACTAAAACACCCTGCCTTCTTCCAAAATGATTGTCTTATAAGAGGACTGAGGCCTCCAAGGTCTCGTCAGCAAAGACAGCCAACGCAGCAATCCACCTGCCCACTTCAGCAGCCCTCCCGCTCTCCCCGGGCCCCCTGTCCGGTTATCAGCCCCTTCCCGTTCCCCCCGCGCAGCCCCCAGCTGCCTTTCCCTCCCCTCTTCGCCCCTGGCCGGGGTTCCCCGGCCCCGCCTTGCCCCCGGGGCCGCCTCCCGCTCTGCCCCCCCCGCCCCGCGGTGGGGTTCCCCGGGCTGCGCGGAGGCGGAGCGCGGCGCGGCCCAGCCCGCTCTGAGCCGGAGGAAAGCGGCGGGGAAAGGGAAGGAAGGGGAAGGGCAAAGCAGGCGGGTCCTGCCAGCGCTTAAAGAAAAGCGGCCCATCCTCCTCCTCCTCCCCGCCGACGGGGGAAGGCGGAAAAGCGAAGCGGTCAGCGGGCCCCTCCCCGGGTTTATATGCGCCTGGCCGGATTCCTGCCGGCCCCGGAGAAGAAAGAGAAGGGGCAGCAGCGCGGAGAGGGCTTACCTTCCCCGGCCATGTGCTCGGTGAGCGAGGCGAGCAGCACGGACCCGCTGGCGGCCCGCTTCAGGCAGGTGGAGGAGACGCTGGAGAAGCTGCACCGGGAGAACCGGAGCCTGAAGAACAAAGTGCCCCGCTACAACGCGCTCTGCGCCTTGTACCACGAGTCCGCCCAGCAGCTGAAGCACCTCCAGCTGCAGCTGGCCGCCAAGGAGGCCACCATCCGGGAGCTGCGGAGCGGCCTGGCCCGCCAGTCCTCGGCGGCAGCGGTGGCGGGGGGCGAGGCGGGGGCTGGGGGCGCGGAGCCGGCCCGCTCGCTGGTGGAGAGCCTGCTGGAGCAGCTGGGGCAGGCCAGGGAGCAGCTGAGGGACAGCCAGCGCCTCTCGGAGAAGAAAATGGAAGCTCTCAGCCAGGTAAAAAACCCTCGCCTCTCCGGGCCGGAGAGGGGGGGTGCGTGTGCGCCCGACGGCAGCAGCATCCAGCCCGGGAGCTGTGCTCCCCCCTCCTCTCTAGGGGAAAAAAAAGAAAAAAAAAAAAAAGGAGTAATTTAAGCTTAGTAAGCCCAGCTTGGTGGTTTTCTTGACTGGAGGATGCAGACATTTGGCGTTCAGGCTGCCAACTCGCCTTTATGGAAACAGGCCGGGGCCACAGCTGGGTTTAAGCGACTGGCCCGGGTGGCACAGCAGGCTGGTGGTAGCAGAGCCCGGACAGGAGAGAAAATGCCTCGATCCCTGCCCGGTGCGTTTGACAGGTCCCTCTTCAGCACGGTGTGCCCGGGGCTGGACTCTGCCCAGAGCAACTCTGTAACCAGAGGTAGTTCCCACGGCCTTCGGTTCAGGAAGCTAAACCCTAAAAGCCCCCCAAAAAAACCTGTGTTATAAATCTCTGTGCAACTATTTCCACAAGGAGAAACAGTAAAACCCCCTAAATTTGGAAGTTCCCTATTACTTACTGAAGACCCTCCTTCTTTGCTCTGAAAGATAAGCAACTGATACCACCCCTTTTAAAGTTTAGTTTTGTTTTGGTTTTAGGTGCACTTGAAAAATGTATTTTCTATTGATGTTAAGGCAGCACGTTAACACTTGGAGAAGTAACTGGCAAGTCTGACTTCTGAGGTGATAGATAAGGGAAATGGGTATCTTTTATGACGGAAAGAGAAGTCCCGTTCACCGCAAGTGCTGTTTTTGTTACTGTCATTAAGACTTTCCCTTGTTCAGCCTGAAATACTTAAAGAATTTTAAACCATTTGTTTCTATATGAAGCTGCATAAAGGAATTTCCAAACTGAGAAGCAGTACTCAAAATTGAAAGAAGTATTTTTGTCATAAGTATTCTCTTGACCTAATGCTTATACAAAACATTTTCCATGTATGACGCTCACCTAAAATACATTTAAGTAAGTTCAAGTTTGGAAATTGGTAACAAGAGATGATCTTACTGACACTTTGCAAACAGATGACAAACCTATGGTATCTGAATATATTTTGAAGTCTGATAGTGAATGTCTTTTATCTACAGCAAAGGGGGAATTTAGCATGACGCTAAAGAATTTAAACGTCAGTAATGAGAACAAGTGCTATTTCTATAAGTTATATATTAATTTTATTCTTTTTAGACAAATATTTTATGCCCAATCAGAAACAATGGAATCATTGTCACTTAAAACAACAAAAAAAAGACACTTTGTGCAGGCAGAGGCCTACATGCTGGCAAAGAAGAGTGCTCACTGTGATTTACAGCTCCATTAACACTCCCAAAGAACTGGAAGGGTAGAGTTAAGCTTGTACCTGTCTCATGGTCTACGCTGGCATCCAGGCATCACTGATTCTGGAGAAGCAGTGCTGCAGAGGCTTCTGTTACCAGCATCCTCTACTTTTTGAGGATATTGAGCACAAGCTCAACGTTTTTGACAAAGTCAGGACTGGTGTACTTCAGATACATGGTATTATAGGGTGGTTTACACCAGTAAGCAAGCAAAATTCTTCCTTCTCAAAACACCTGCAGAGAAATTAACAATGCAGTGCAGATGATCCCACAGAGCACAGAGTAATTCAATAAGAACATGCACAAGAAGATACACAGTTGTCTCCTAAGAGTGTGTTGGATGCCCTTGCATACCTTGGAGAGTCAGCTATGGCCAAAACAGAGTCATTGCTGCCACACAGACTTCATTTTTTGTTTGCTTGTCCTTGCCACTCATCCTTTCCCAAGTGGGAAGGTTGCTGTGTATGCTCCCTCTGCTTTGTCCTTGTGACAGTGACAGGCAATGAATACACTTCACTGATTTTTGATAAGATGACTTTAAAGTTCCATTTTTGTTTTTGGAGGAAAATCTCTGCTATCTGGTAATTCAGTGTGCAGGACCAGCAAGCATTTCTCAGTCTCCATAATTATCCCTTTTAAATTTGTTTCTTCTAAGTTCCATCTTTGGTTTGTTGGTGCTGTATATCTTTTCATAAAATTTTCCTGAATTTTTGCTTGTGATTTCTTCATTTGACTGACTAGGAAGCGCTTGTATAACTGTCCAAGCAGATCTTGATTCTGGTTTACTGATCTGTCAGCTCCACAGTTAGGTGATTATATAAAAATGAATTAGGTTTATTTTACTTTTAAAGTACTTGGGAATGAGTATAGGAGCAATATGGAATTACTGCAATATAGAATTCAATTTTAGACATATTTTGGCTTTTGAGTTTACATTGCTTTTAAGTAACTTCCCCTCCCCCTTATATTTAGGAAGTACAGAGGTTGAATCAGCAACTAGAAGAGAAAAATGGAGAGATACAGCAAATGATAAATCAGCCTCCATATGAAAAGGAGAGAGAAATCTTACGACTTCAGAAGAGCTTGGCAGAAAGAGAGAAGGCTCAGGCCACCAGCGATGTTTTGTGCCGTTCACTGACTGATGAAACTCACCAACTTCAACGCAAATTAGCATCCACAGCAGAAATGTGTCAACATCTGGCAAAATGTCTGGAAGAGAAGCAAAGAAAGGAGAAGGGGAATTCAGATGACCAGACACCTACTGAAAGATCTAATCAGGTATTCTTACTGATACTATGTTTCTTTAAAGTCTTAGTAGCTTTTGAGGTGTTAATTACAATATGATAGTTGTAACTGGTGAGTGGTGAGAAAAGTTCCTTTAAATAATTTCATGTAGGATGAAAAGCTGTAAACAATTCTGAGCACTAAAAATTGACAACCGCTTCCATCCTAAATCACTTGCATTTTGGCCACCCCACTTACCATCAGATCCTGCATATACAGGAGACAGCACCTGCTTTATACAGCAGCTTGGCTGCTCTGCATCACTAGATGGTGCTGTGCTTTCTTGAAGGTGCTACCTCCTTATTACTTAAGTATCTAAATCACAAAACAAAGCATATCTATTTTAAAGTAGTATTTATATTAAGAACTTTATGGCACGTGGTCTTCTCAGATGGGGATCTGGCTTTGCACATATAGCCCAGACCTACAGAAGGTTGGTTTGGGAAGAATGAGTCAAGGTGTCTTACTCTCTTTTTTTTTTTTTTTCCTTTGGGATTCCCCCTTAACCCCCCCAGTGCAAGGCAATGCTTCTCTCCAGCGGGGATGTTTAGAAAAATTGCTTTATGATAGGAAAGTAGCAGAAATGCTGCTGAGGGGCACAAAGAAACACCTGGATTTTGGCATACTTTGCTAATGGCTGTGTGGCTTTGCCTCACCTTCACCTTTGGGGAAGCTTTTCAAGCACAGGACAGAGGTAGATGGTGTTGTTCTGTTCTTCCAGAAGTTATGACGGGTCAGAGTCTTTGGGCAATTCGTGATAATATCATAAGGAAATAATACTAGAGGTGCTGCCTCCAGTAACAGATCAGAATATTAAGTAGGATGCCACAGCTAATTCTCACAAAAAAGAGTAACCTCTCTCTGGTGTTCTGACTGCTGCGTAGCAGCGATGCTGTGTTTCGTGTGACCGCTCATCTGTGCTTTTATGGTAAACTCTACACATGCCCACTTCTACCCTGGAAAGCATCCCAGCAGCGTTTCCAAAGAAAACTAATTCATCTTAAAGTTACCTGTAAGCAGTAGCTGGAGGCTGACTAGATAGAAGAAAAAAGGACTTAAGGGACTTGCAGCATTTAGCATTATCATATTTTACATGTACTTGACAGACAGGAAACTTGATTGACTTTGATATATGTAATAAGTAGCTAACCTTGTACAGTGGGGACTTCCCTGTTGAAGAAGAGAAATTTCAGATGCAATTACTAGCTGATTCTAGGGAATTTTGTACAAAAGTGTTCTATATTACTCATGTACACCGGGGTTTTTTTAAGCAGATGTCACAACTGTAAAAAAGAGGTATCATTTTAGTCAATTATTTAGCAAGCAGGTTTTTTCTCCCCCTCAGTAATTTCTTCCTAGTACTGGCCAAAATTGACAGTAATAACAAAGCAAGATGAAGGCATATCTGTGTCTTTGTCATGTATTCCCCAACTCCAAACAAGTAGTTTCCAAGGAGTTTGTGTACATTGTTAAGCTCCATTGTTACCAGTGTAGACCCTCATGCTTGTAAAATCTGTGATATTTTTCTTTTTACCTTTAGTAGGCTCAGAATTTGGTAAGACAGATATGGTTTTATGACACCACACAGATCTATTTAAAAGCAATACCAAGGCATTTTAACCTGAGTACATTTTTGCCCTGCTCATTACTAATAAAAGCTGTAGGCTATACTATTAGCATTTAGAAATATACTATATAAATAGACCTTGATGTATGTACGTTTCACTGACAGCAAATAGTTTTAGAGGCATTAAAAAAAAATTACTTCCAGTTTAGCAGCACAGCTAAGTAGTATTTTGGACTTGTATTTTAAACTAACACTTCTTTTTATCTGAAAATTACAGCTTTTAGACAATGAAACTTCACTTCAAGCTCTTGTCTGCAACCTACGAGATGAAAACAGGATGTTAAAACAAAAAGTAGCTCACGTGAGTACTTTCATTCTGTGCAAGATTAAGATTTGATTTTTTTGAATTACAGTAAATTTGGAACAGCTAAGGCCTGGTTAATCTAGTTAGAAGGCAGTTTAATGTGACAAATTCTTTTTGAATTGTTTCAACACGGCATATAGGCTTTGTTCCCTTAGCTAAGAACACCTTAGTATGTTATTTTTAATGTATTTGGGTTCTGTTGTTAGAAATACTCTGCAGGAGAAAACTGTTCTGGTGTTCCTTCTGTGCCTCAATATTCCACCCCAGGAGAATGGCACTAGGCTCAGGGTGACTGCCAACCCCTCACATTCCATATTATTTAGCACTGTCCCTAGGGATTGGTAAATGGGAAGGGCTGCCCATGAAGAGCCTGGCTTATAGCACAATAATCTTCAGCTCTCCTGTAAAGTGGCTTATCCACACTCAGCAGATTGTATTATAGTTTAGAGAATTTTGCTCCTGCACATATAGACAGTCTACAAAAGCTTGGAAGTTTTTGTCTTCATGTTTGTGTCTTCATGTTCTTCATGACTCTCCTGGGTAATCTTTCAGGTGGAAGACTTAAATGCCAAATGGCAGAAGTATGATGCCAGTAGGGATGAGTATGTGAAGCGACTCCACCTGCAGCTGAAAGAGATGAAGTCACAGCTGGACCAGCAGCACGGAGTAACTTCAGCACAAACCAATTCTGACCTGATGCACAAGGAGATATTCCGGTTAAACAAGCTCCTGGAAGAAAAAATGAATGAATGCATAAAAATAAAGAGAGAATTAGAAGATGTGAAGAAGGCTAGCGAAGGAGATAATGAGCGCATACAAATGCTGGAAGAACAGGTCATTAAGTTTCTTCTTCCTAGAGATGGGAACTCTTAGTTTCTCTCCAGACTACTTTTCCAAGAGGGGAAAAAATGAAAGTATTTCTTTTGACATTTGCCACTTGTCTTGCCCCATTCGACTTCACTGATAGTTAACACAGATTTAAAGGAAACTCACTACTTAACTGCCTGCAGTTCTGCTGGTTTTAATACAAGATACGAAAAATCTGAAAAAGAAATAAAATTTCTTTAAAGTACAGATATGATATAAAAGATAATATTGAGATTCTGGGAATAAGTATAAACAAAGGAATCACAGCCTCAACTTTTTAATCTAACCTGCCAATATTCTAATTTGTAAAATATTAACATAATATTAATTCTTTTTCAGGTCCTAGTTTATAAAGATGATTTCAAGTCTGAGAGATCAGACAGAGAACGAGCACAGAGTAAAATACAAGAGCTTCAGGCAGAAGTTGCCTGTCTGCAGCACCAGCTAGCAAGAAGACAGGTAAGAAAGCAAGGTGCTACTTTTTCAGTTAAATAATGTCAAAAGGATTCAGGACTAAAATATACTTTTAAATATATTTGAAAAAAATCTTACTACTTCTAAAACCATGCAGCTATCAAAAACTTATATTGTTTCATAGCAATTTCTAGTGGAGATGCTTTCCAACACATGTGTGATAGCCCTATCCAGTCTATTTTTCTTCTGGTTTGGATCAACATGAATTCTTAAAAGGAAGAGAAGCCAGAACTGTTGTAACAATGGCATCTTTAAAGTAGCATACTGACTGTATTCTGTCTTTTCTGCAAGCCTTCTTTACAATTATATCAATAAAATTCAAAAACTGATGCGTAATTTATTTACAAATTTTCTGATAAAAACATAAGCAGTGTTTCAGAGAAATGTGATAAAATATTCTGTTAAAGAATATCTTTTTACTGCATCTTTTTCAAGAACTCCTCTTTATCTTTCTAGGACTCAAGAGACACAGGTAGTCACTTCAGAGCTCACACTGGTAACCAAAATCACATGTATGTACAGACGAACGTTGAACATCTACGAGGCAATAGTCCAGGCCAAACAGGCACGAGAAGAACATCTTCACAGTCTGAACAAGCCTCTCCTCCTGTGGACAATGGAAACTCAGGATCCGAGGGCCGGGCACAGGGTGAACTCAGATGTCCTCATTGTATGAGGTTTTTCAGTGATGAACTCAGTGATGAATTCCTCAAGCACGTTGCTGAATGTTGTCAGTGACCACGTTATGTGAGGCTTGTAAGTCGATCACTACTTTAAAGACAGTAAAACTTTGTGCATATCTCCTACAGTCCTAAACCACAGTCATTCAAATGGACAGCTCTTAGGAACTGGGAGCATGCACAATATCTACCTCTTACTTGATTTCTCCTGCTCTTGGGACTGTGTGAAAGACTTCAAGATAAAGCAAAGTGTTTTTGCGAAGAATCATTTCTGACAACTACAGGGAAGGCAAGAATAATGCAAATTCTACTACAAACTAAACTGAAACTTAGGCTGGTAGTTAGCGTCAGAGTGCAGCTTGACTCCTATTTGAGTCTAATTCTTGACAGCAGTCTGAAGACTTGGGAAAAAAATAACTGAACTTGAAATTTTCCTCCTCTTCCAAAAATGTAGGCTGCAGAATGGGGAAGGAGCACTTTAGCAGAAGATAGGAAAAACCTTACTGCGCTTTATCTGGATTAAAAATGAAAGTATTTTCTTGGCTGAACTTTCAGACATCTCATCTGAAAATCCTAGCGTTCAACTGAAATCAGCAGAAGTGAAGAAAACATGAAAGGGCTGGTTATTGACTAAAACTAGCCTGTCTTTTTGCACAGAAACAATGTACAGGGATATTTATTTTTTTTTCTGTGCCATAAGTAATTATTTTACACATTTATAAATGTGTATCTGTGTAATTATTGATTGTATTCCTATTTTACCTAAGGATTATTTTTATAATAAAAGTGATTGTGCAGTTGCTTTACTACATTAGTAAAGTGGTCAAAAATCTCTCTTTCAGTGTAAGTATTTAAACGTGAAATAGTCCCAGTAACTATACTAAGGGCTAACTAAATGTCATGGTTTCAGATGTGAGTTACTTCATTAACTTCAGTGATAACCAGGGTCTCAGACTATTTTCAAGTATGTTGAAAAATCACTCATTTATGAGAGGAAGAACGACCTTTCAGATGCACAAGAACACATTTAATGCCCTACCCTGCCACACAGATGTGACGACGCCAATGCAAGCTTAAATTTCTTCTTATCCTATCTACACTGGAGATAACTTCCACAAATAGCAGGGAATTGTTTTGAGAAGAAGTACCAGAAGTTAAGGTGTACAAATGTAACAGGGCCACAGGTTTTTCCAGCCTTGGCTCCAAGTGCTTCTCCCCAGTCAGAGCTGGAGTTAAGGATGGGATACAAAGTATAAAGGCTTAGTACAACCAGGACCTTTCAGTAATTAAAGAAAGCTTACTTTGTATAACAACTCTTTGTATAACTCTTGCTTTCTGCTTTGCTTCCTTCCCATTACTACACTTCAGGAGGATTGTGGATATTTTCCTTGATATTTCCTTGTTATGATCCTGGAAGATGATGGTTTATGCCAATGTTGCCTTAGGTGGGATTTTACCAAAAAAGATGCATGGGCCATTGCATGCAGTGAGCAGGTGCAATAGTTCTTACTTATCTAATCTTAAACTGATTGCAAACCTGTGATTGATTACTAGCTTGATTTTCCCAACACAAGACACGCAAACAAGCAGAGATTTTTGTTTTGTTACTTTTTTTTTTAGTGACCATTTTATACATCACCTTTTAAGGTCAGAGATCAGATGCAGCCCACAGAATATAGGCTGAGAAACATATGATTAAACTTCCTGTGGCATCAGCTAATCTTTACTTTTTCTGACTGTTCTCATTAGACAAGCCTAGTTTACAGCTTCGATGTACCCCAATACTATAGTGCCAGTGACTGACAGAGCAGAATATGGCCTTTTTTTAGGGATTCACATTACAAGATAGTCACAGAGACAAACCACAGCACTAAAGTAAGTTAGATTGTGGCAGTGTGTTGGTTTTTTACTACATTTGAGATGATCACTGCTTTAATATACATCAGTCAGAAGCTCAAGTCTGCTATAGGTTTCCACCCATGTTAATCCCTGTGGGTACAGTTGGACAGACTGACCTAGAACTATTAGAAATACAGGCAAGAATTAGATACGAGAATCTGCAGTACACAGAAATCAACAGCACCTATTCTTGTCATTTTAAGACCTGTCAATTAGTCCCCTTTTCAGAGCAGAGGTTAGAGTCCAAATCCTGGGAAAGAAAAGCACTTCAGTGCCAGGAAGCTGGATCTATCTCCATAGAGGACCACACCAGACCGACAGACACCAACAGATGAAGTTACAGATCAAACACAGATTACAGGTGCCACCTAAAGCTGTACAATAAATGACTGGAACTTGAATACCTGCAGCAAAAATCTAGGACAAATCTGGTTTTCAGCATAAAAATACTTCACTTCAGAGCTATTTTATTTTACCATTTCCTACTGAGTTTTTTTTTCCAGGTGGTAAAAAGCCCTACTTCTTTCTTTCATGCTTTGGCTTAACCAAGAAACCAGCTACGCACACTATCAAGAATCACCAGTGTCTTACATGCAAATGGTTGATTCAGATTATAGGGTGTAAACAGTTCCTCCTATGAAAACAGTGCTTTTACTTTTATGCTGAAATCACTGGTAGATCTCTTGAAGAAACAGCCTACCACCTTTACTCGTCCTCTGCTCACCAGGCACAGCACACACATCCAGGCACCCCAAGAAATCGCCACCACCTACATTCACAATTCAGGTTCCTCAACTCATAGACCAGAATGCATAAAACCTGTCAGCTCCACTGCCCCAACACTGAAGCGAAAGCCACCAGGAGTTCCCAGTGTTTTTTTGAACCCTTTAAATTAAGGGAAGCTCCTTCTGGCCTCAGAATGGTTTTCTCCCCAACTTGGGTGGCCGTCCAAGTACTGCATGTCTTCTTTAGTTGAACAGCAAAAGAAACCCAACTCCTTTCCCAAAAAAAAGCAAAAAAGGTGTATGAGTAAGAAAGTAACTGCATAAGATCAAAAGAACTTCAGTAGCATAAACTTTATGAACTTTCATTATCCATTTGTACCACACTTGTTCACTGAAACACACATTATCTGTAAAACTGCAGAAAGAAGTCCTCAAACAAGAGAGACACTCTTGAAACCACACAGAAAAACTCCGTGACTATATGGGACTCTGTTCCTTATTTGCTGTTAGTGGCAACAAAAGGCATCCAAGGTAACTGAACCCTCTTATCAGGAAAAGTTAACACCCCTTCAGGCTTCTGGAAATCTCTCCTTGCTGGTGAGCAGTGCCTGCACTGGAGAGGCACACCAGTACTGGAAGACAGATGGAGGTACCCCTGTAGGTCCAGTGAGGCTGAGAGGAGGCAGGATAACTGTCTCTTCTGGGACTTGTGGAAATGTGTCTTAATATATTAAAAGCTACCAAGATGTATTGTCCAATTACATTCATGATTAGTCCATCCCTTCTCCTAAAATTCCCCCCTCATTAAATTACCTTCCCTCAGTGTTGCTCTCCAAACCAGACCCAGGACAAGCCTAGAGCCCCCAAGCAGCTCTCTCACCACCCATGAGGTTTTCAGACCAGATTCGTCCTCCCAAGTGCTGGCAAGCTGGTTCTCATTATTTCTGGACCTAATTAAAACCTATTTTGCTCGTGATTTTAAGGTAAACGCTGTTTACTAATAACTCTGCTGGTTGCCATGCAGAAGCAGGCCCTGAGCACACCATCACGACAGCAGCTGTGGGCAAGACTGACTCACTGAGTCTCAGAAAATACAGCTGGGAGAAGCCTCAGATGCTGGTCCTTACCCCAGAAGCCCCAGGGGAAAGAAGCTCAACAATAATGTTGTCTTCTGTAGCATGGGCAGTATAGAGCCTAAAAAGCATCTCAAAACTTTTGCAACTCTTAAGGCAACGTCTGCTTCCCCCTCCAATGATTTAGGACATCACATCTTTTAAAACAAGCCTTAAATGATGCCTCAAGATTAAGTGCTCACTAATAATAAAACCGATAACAAGAATAAAATTTGTTCAAGAAGCAGATAACTATGCTTTATGGTATTTTTTTTTTTAAACTTCCATTTCCTGTGGCTTTGCTGCGTGTGTATATATAGAAAGCAAGGGAAATTCCAAACAAGATGCCACACCATCGTACTCAGAACAGCAGTGCTTCTCATTCTAAAAAAGGGAAGTCTCAAATTATTTTTCTACAAAATCTATGTGAATTCAAAGTATGCTGTAGTAATATTTCCTAGTACCATGCTCCAGTAGCTATCAGCCTGGGGGCTTCAGCTAAAAACCTATAGCCTAAGAAATACTTACAAAGCACTAAGTCAACCCAGCAGGACCTCAGCAGAGGGGTGGGGTATCAGGTTAAGCACTCCTGCCTTCTCACCTGATGTCTCAAATAACTCACTAAGGGCAAAGCCCAGCCCAGCACCTTCACTGAAGCTTTCCCTGCCATGGGCTGTCCTAGCTGGGGGGATCAGAATTCCAGCAGGGTTGGGTAGGGCTTTACAAGGTGCTGCAGCTACTGCTGAAACAGGGGCTCCTAAAAGGCACCAACTGTCCCAAGTAGCACAGCCTCTACTCCCACTGCTGCTCACTGCATTCTTCCCCTTTCTCTTTAACACATCCACTTTTTCCTCTTCTTTTTACATTTACTGGTAAGAAGCTGTTGGTGCAGGAACTCTTCACAACATGCACTGGATGTGTAGCCTCTATAGCATCTGACAGCCACCCTCAGGAGCTTGAGATACTTCCATACCACGTGGAGCTCCATTGAGAACAGCACTGAACCAGATGGTGGGTTACAAAACAGCTTATTTCTAGAAGGCATCAAAAACCCCCATTTGAAGTGTGTACTCAACTTAGCCATGCTTGTTCCCCTGACCGTCCTTCCTCGGGCCACCCCTCCAGCGTGCTTTCTGATGACCTGGTTGACAGATGGGCCAAGTACCCACAAGCAGGGCAGCTCTGGCTCCTCATGACAACACCCACCTTCTCTGTGTCACATGAATTCACCTGGCCTGAGGCATTCACACTGATTTCTCAAGGAGTGGGAGGGAGGAAAGAGCAGAGGGACCCAGTTCTGCAGTGCTTGCAGATTCACCTCCATCCCCTCCCTGTCACCACTGCAACCCTCTCTCCCCTCCTCCCCCATCCTGCTCTCACCCAATCTCTATGTCAAATCTGTCTTCATACAAAAACTGTTTGATTTTTTTTTTTTTAATCACCAACAGACACGTTCTTGGTTACACGCAAATATCACAGGCAGCTTTTACAGGAGGGACACGTGTGTTACCAGGCACTCTTTGGCCAGCGCTAGCACACCCCAAGCCTTGAGGAGCTTCTTGGTTCCTCCTGCAGCCAGACTTCCTCCAGCCACCTCCCAGACCTCTCCTGTACAGCCCAAAATGGCATGGCTGAATGGGACAGTGGGTATCACAGCTCCATGTCTGGCTCCACAGCAGGCAGGACTTGGGTGATGTCTGGGGTTACCTTCTCTGCTGAGACAGGAGCCCACACTAAGGGAATAATGCCTTGCTGGCACAGAGGACAAGGTGCCAACCTGTGGTCTCCCTCCAGCTGTGCCCCCACAGCCCTCCCTGGGCTGGGCCAGCTGCAGCTCATGAAAGGCAGCCACCTGCACCCTCCACCTGGCCCTGGGCTGAGAGGACAGCCACAGGGCACACGTACCAGCTCCGGAAGCAACCCCGCTGGGACTAGTCCCACTCACTACACCCTGGGGTTTTTCCTGTCCGGGGCAAATCAGGAGGCAGGTTCTCAGAGCACACTACAGAGCAGGGTCTCTGCCTCTCTCAAGGCAGAGAAAGGGGGGACTTGGTGGGATGTAAAGTGACTCACGCAGACCACAGCTGAGCACAGCCTAAAAAAGCATCCTACGCCTCCTTCTCACCACCTGAACTCACCCTCAGTGATACAGATCTAAGTTAGTGGTTCTCAGCTCCTCTTCTGCCCTCAGCACCTGCTCCACCTTCTGCAAGGCGTGTTCTTGCCTCCCAGAGGTGGAAGGACAGAGCTTTCCCATGTGCCACCCCCAGTGACAGCTGGCAATCAGGAACCAGACATCTCTGGAGGGAAAGAGACCTTCCTTTGATCCTGGCTGCCATGATAAGGGGCCTCTCTGCCCCTCCACTAAAACCAGTCCTAATCCGAGCCCTAAATTTGAGCAGTAGTTGATCCTTACCAGCAGGAACATCTGTCACCCATGGGATGTACCTACTGGGTGCACTATAGGAACTGCTCCTTGAGCACTGACTGCTCTGCACTGCCAGAGCCACCAAGCAAGCCCCACAAGAGACCTGCTGTAGAGTCCCTACAAAATGAGAGCTGGAGCAGTTCCCATTCTCAGTGGCATCTGAGACTTGGTTTGAGCACTTTGCAGAAGCCCACCTCTGCCCCTGACACATCACAACAGGGCAATCAAAGCAAAGAGCCAAAAGAGCAACAGCAGCACAGAGAGGTGAGCTGGGCAGAAGTCCACCAACAGCCCACATCTTCCAGACCCCTCCTTACTCACAACATGGCATGACCCCTAAAACTCACCATATTTTCCAGGCAGTTGTGACACACTGAATCAGCGCCTGTTAGACACATGTGTGGTGGGCGCAGGAAAGGTCCTTAAGTTGGGCATCTTTCCCCATGTTTGGGTACCTCGGTGTAGCCCCACCTGGACACAGCAGTAGGGAAGGTCTCCTTCACAATGACAGTTCTCCAGCAACACAGGTCCTCTGCTACAAGGCTAGCAAACCTTCACCTGACAGGGACAAGTTCTCCCTATAGTTAAGGATCAAACAGAAGCCAACTGTGAATAGATACGAGAGGAATCTCACGAGGAGGAACATGTTCCCTGTCATACCAGCAACAAAGCAAAGATGTGCAGGAAGTCAGTCTGTCTGTGCTTCACTACTGCACATTGCAGAGGAGAGGCATCACACCAAATGCAACTGCCTGGAGAGAGTATGAGGTCTAAAGGTAGTTAAAACTTACACCCATCAATGGCAGGAGAGGGAAGATATAAAAGTCTTTCCATTTACTGCAATTGCAAAATTCATTAATAAGGTCCATGGTGATCATCTGCTCTTCATGTCTCTTTAAACAAGAGCCTCCAAGTTACCAGGATTCATTTGTCTGGGATGCTCTTCACTGGGTGATCATGTTGAAAGAGGAAGAGATGTGAGAGTCCAGAGCACGTGAAGATCCTACAGAACAGTGGCTGCAGCCTGTGGGAAGAGAAGTAAAATCCAGGAGACCAACCTCATCACTACAGAGCTGTGTCCTGAGAACAGCTTTTAAACAGGAAGCTCACAGTACCAGTAATTGCAAGGTCAGGCCTAAAATTAGCCATGAAAAGCACCCTCTGAAGAGAGGTTGAAGGGATATAGATGAAGATAACATGGCATCACCAGGGAGTGATTGAGGAATGCGGTGGTTTGCAGGGAATTTGAAACTTGGGTACAGCTTGCAATAGACATGCAGGTGCACACGCTTCTCCTTGTGCTAAAAAAAGGAGGGATTTTAGGCTTTATTAGAAGGTGAATAGTGCAAGCTCTGAGCTTACACCTCTAGTTTTTTTATAAAGCAGAATTTTGACACCTCCTCCATGACTCTAAAATAGCTTTAAAACCACAAGTAATGTCTTTTAATTGGCATGAGGAGCCCAGGCCCTCCCTCTCTCCTGAGCGGTCCACTTACTGATCACCAGAGCCCACTTTCACCTTATTACAATCACACTCAAGCACAGAAACAGTTCTTGGGCAGGACACAGAGCCTGGGACACTGGCTGCCTCAGTTGAGTGCCTCTAATCACCAGGACACACAGCTTGGCTGCAAAAGCACCATATGATTGCCCTTCTTGCTTCTTCAAGTACCACTTGTATTTAGAGAAGAGTGGTCATCAAAAGGCACTTCATCTCCAGAGGTAACGTCACCACTTTCCCATGTGGCACCTGCTAGGTTTTACACCTTTTCTGGACCTGTCTTCTCTCAAGAAAGATATTCCAAAACATACAGGGGACAGATTGTGGCTGGTGGTGTGATGGGAGGTCTCTGACCACTGACAGAGAGGGTCTGGAAAGGGGACCAAGGTGGAATTTGTTTGAAAGAGACATCGAGGCTAAGTGATGGACTAGACCAGGGTGCTTTAGAGACAGTTACGGGCACTAAGTCATCTTTTTAGATGAATCTCTGTGGCCAAGACTAGGAGTCAGTGTGGGGTGCAGGCAGGCTTTCCCCTCCCACACAAGATCCATCCTTTGATAACCAGACGTGGAATCCCCTAAACTCTCTGCACGGTGTCAGCTCCTGGGGAGGCACGATGTGCAGTGGAAAAAATTGACGAGCACAACCACCTCGTCACCATCACCCAAAGAATGGCCGACAGCTTAGTTTGTGAACTGTTTTGAGGCTTCGTTTTGTCACACCTACACACACCGGTATGCACGGCACCTCACCCCCTCCCACAAAATGTCAAAGTCTTCAACTCCTAAGAATAACCATTAGGGGAGAAAAAAAATTGCATGTGCTGCCCGTGGTAACTCCTGTGGGGTGGGGATTGCACTGGTCTTGCCTCTCTCCTCAACTCAGGGTTTACACTCACCTTGTCATAAGTTTCCTCCTGGTGGCACCTCCTCGGACAGGCAGCAGGCAAATATTAATTTTTACTTCTGTGGTTTCCAGGTGACTCTCAGGGAAAGTTTACTGGAGCTTTATCCTTCCTGAAATGGTAGCAAAACCGAATAACCACTTCCTCTTAGCACAGCTGAGGAACTTCAGATGCGCAGTGTTGCAAAACAGCGTGAGGACACCCTCCCTCTTGCCTCTGCTGTACTCTCTTGCGTAGATTAATTGTGTTACCAGGGAGTAACAAGGTTGGGAAAACCTTGAGCAGTAGAAGCCACTCTCACAGCCTGGCAAGGCAGGTGAGTGCTACCCACTTCGGCCCCCCAGCTTGGGCCTTTGTGTCCCCAGCAGCTGTAAACAACCTGCAATCACCAAACTTTGTACCTCCACCTGTTTTAGAGGCTGAGCAACTGAATAATTTCCAGTCAAGCCCCAAAAGGGGCACTAAATGTACTTGCAGGTATTTCTGTTTTGGTGCAATACTGCAAAACCAAATAGTGAGCAGAGATAACAACTGCTAACAGAGATTTTCACAAAATGGATCTCTCAGGTTGCTTCCTTAACCAGAGGGGCACACAACCTTCCCAGTGTGTACAGAACAGGATCCCCGTGTCTAAAAGGAAGAAGCTGGGCTTGTGTACCTCTTCAGCACTTTCTGAATCTTTGAGCAGTTTGTCTAAAGCTGGTATTAATACTGTCATAAGGCTTAATAATAAAGCAGCTAATGTTTGACTGGATTTTAAAAGTCAAATTCCAGCCTCCTCTAAGCAGCTTCCAATTCAGTAAAGACAGAAGGCCGTGACTCATTTAAACACAGAGTTGTGTCACTCCGCAAAACACAGGGGCACCCTTGCAGTTTTTCTGCAAAAACACAAAACAGAACAAGCATTTTGCAAACAGTGCAACTGTTTCGACATCATTTCAATGGGACAACCCTGTGATTTCATGGAGAAAGGCCTCAGCTGGGTATGGTAAAAATCTCAGCCTCAGGTCACCTGTACAGCCACTTTATATGGTCACAGGCTACAGACTCCATTAGTTTTCCACATGATTTAAGTGTTTTTCCTCCCTGGAGCTGACAAAAAAAAGAGCAAGTAGGAAGGTCTGGTTCTGTACCTGAGTTGTCTTGGCTGGTTTTCACAAGGACCAGCGAGTTGCATTCACCTGTGCTTTTAGGCAGTCACCAATTTGACATGCCTGGGTTGAAGAGGCTAATTCTGAGGCCTGACTGTGCCCATGTTTGGGGGTTACGTACTTCATTACAACAATATGTAACTTTTAAAGTGCATAAAAAAAACCTTCACAACTTTTAAAGCTATATTGACTAAAAATCCCAGCTGAAGAACAATGAGCCAAGCTCCAGCACACCTGACCCCATCCCATTACTTGATGTCCATGAACAGGCGGTGGCTCAAAACCAGCCTTACTCAATGCATCACACCTTCTTCCAATGGCAGGGTTTAAACAGTGAAAGTTCAGCCACAAACGAGTTCAGGGAGCACTTGTAGTAGCAACACAACCAGTACAACCTGTAGCTACACAGCCCTTCATACTGGTGCAGTTACTCCAACTACTGCTGCAATTGCTCATGAGTCAAGGTGAGTCTGACCTACACGAGAGGCTGATGGCTGAAGGAGGTAAACTCAGACACCAGCGTAAGCAGTGCAGGACCCTTTCAATTTGCAAAGCTAAAAACTCTTCAAAACAAGAGCTGTGGACAAGAGGTTCAGAAAATGTCAATTTGTGTTTGTGTGTCTGGAGTTTGGGATTTCCACTCCAACTCTTTACAAGCGAAAGGTCAAATATGAAAGAGGGTAATATAAACAAATCAAAAGGCTATAAAAGCTTACTCACTTGGAAGCCAAGACCGACCATGAAGGGAGGAATTTTTAGGAAATAAACAGCAGAATAGCATTTAAGAATGCATTAACTCAATAATGGAAAATTCTGTATGCATGCAACAGCACTGATAGGAATTAAACTCCACAGAGGAGGACACAGGCACGGAGCCAGTGCCTAAAGGAAACACGGAAAGAAACTTACTGGAACTTCTGAATCAAGACAGCAGGTCTAGGCATGAATTATTTGTTTAAATCAAATTTATGACTGTCACAATCAACAGCAATTTTGCAAAAATCACTTAATAGTTGAGCTTAGGGAAAGGAAGATTTGAAGATCGTCTATTCCAATGCCCTCCTGCTCAAAGCAGAGTCAGCCAGAGCAGACTGCCTGGGGCTGCGGCCAACCAGGTTTTGACCATCTCCAAGGATGAACAGTCCACAGCCTCTCAATACAACTTGTTCCTAGGTTTAATCACTCTCACAGTAAAAAAGTGTTTTGGTTTTTTTTTTTTTTTTTACTATGTTTAAATGGAATATCATTCATTTCAACTCATGCCTATTGCCTCTTGTCCTGTCACTGGGCACCATTGGGTCCATCTTCTGTACTGCCCCCACATCAGATATTTATACCTGTTGGGAAGAACCTCCCTAAGCTTTCTCTTCTCCAGGTTGGACAGTCCCAGCTCTCGCCTCATCCTTGCAGCCCTTTGCTGGACTCTCTCACGTCCATGATACTGGGGAGCCCAAAACTAGACTCACTGCTCCAGATGTGTCTCACCAGTGCTGAGCAGAAGGGAAGGATCACCACCCTCCACCTGCTGGCACTGCTCTGCCACCTTTAGTACTGATGGCTCATGTTCAACGTGCCTACCAGGAGCCCTAGGTTAACCTCAGCTTCAGGTATTTGACACCAGTCAAGCAAAACACTCCCCTAGCTCCCCAACAAACAAAAACCAAAACACTTGCTGATTTTGATTAATTATTATTGTTTGAAAATAGAGCTATTTCTCCCTTTATTCTGCCCTCCCTTCCCCCTCCCCCCCACAGCTCCTTAAAGAGATTTCATATATTTATTTATTAACTGTCACATTGACAGTATTCAAGATCTACAGGCAAATAAATACCCTATGGGGATACAGAGGAGACCCTTAAAACCTCAGCTAAAACACTAGACAAAGAAGCAACACATTTATCTCAGGAACCTGCGATGAATATTCCGAAAAATGGCACATTTGGCATGCCTTTTGACACAAATACTTCTTGAAGTGTTTATAAGAAAGATGGCACAGTCCATTGTTAGCAGTGATGGAGGGTGAAGAGGAAGGAAAGAAATCTTCCACTTTTTTTTTGGCAGACTCTAGAAATTCCTCAATTCAAATGCACAGGCTTGTTTTGAAAACTCAGCTAACAGACTGGTAGAAAGCAAAAGCCTTGAAAATCTGGGAGGTCTAATGCAGGTACCTCTTTTATAACTTTATAACTTCAGGTCTTCTAAATGCCAGCAAGTTAAAATCCTTACAGCATGGTTTCATTACATGTACATTAAACCCTCTCTCTCTTCCAGGCTGGATATTGAGCTGAGTTATCCCTTTCTTTCCCGACATGACAGTCCATGACATTTGTACTTTTTTTTGCAACTTGTGAAGGTTTTACAGTAAGCCTGGGATACAGCAACTGTTTCCGTTCTTTTGTTATGTCTGATTTCCTCATGGTTTAACTGGATGAGAGTTCTAAAAATCGCCCTCTTTGTAGCTGCTCTCCCATTTTATGAAGACAATGAATCACACCAGACTACGTGCAAGCTAGTGGGCGATAACAAAAATCCCTCACACTTATTGTCAGCGCTTGTAGTATTCCCTCCTCTGCACTACAACGCTGATGTGGCTCCATTGCTCACAAAGGTGAGGAAACGGTGGTGTTGATTCAAACTAAGCAGTCATTTTGGAAACTCTCCCATGAGAGAACCCCATCACGAACGTGGCCTGAAACCTCTGCGCTTTCCTGGTCACGCAGGTGGTCCCAACATGCTGATCTGCCTCTTCTGAAGAGCTACAGCAAGTTCAAGCCCAAAACACTTCTGTTGTTTTCTAAGCCAGGATCTGAATTGCTGATACTTACAGTGAAGAAAAGATGGGCATTTTCCACTACTAATGTTAATGGATTTCTAATCCTAGTATGACAGTGAATCTAAATATAATTACACCAAATTTCAGCATGTCCTTCCAAATGTCACTTGTGTGCATACCACATTTAGGACCCTGATATTAAACTAAAAGAGGAAGACAAAGGATGGAGTTAGACTCTGCCCAAGAGAAAAGGACTGAAATCTGATACCAGTGCACAGCTTCTGTTGCCGTTACAGAACTCAGCTGTAACAGGGCAGTTAACACAACAAACACGAGTGATAACAACGTAACATGAACTTAAACTAGGGATTTGCTAGATACATTGGGATTTTCAAAGTTACTGGGCTGACACTAATCTTCACAAAGTTTACAGTAAAAATAAAAAAATTAGTTGCATTTTTCAAATTCCCAAAGATACTCGGTCTCATTTGAGAAGTCATGGATGAAACTCCAGAAGCCTGGAAAGAACAAATATCTTTAAAGTGAAAAGAAAACTAATTTCAATCCCCTCTCAAAGGAACAAACAGACAATTTTTAAGTGCCTACCTGACAGCAAGATGATTTATTCTTGACAAATCCATGTTGGCTACTACTCATGGTCAAACTGATTTTTTTCTCCTTTTACAGGATAACAGCACTTGTGGACAGAAAAAACCCAGTAGATTTTATGAAAGATACTGAGAGTTTGAACGTCATTTTCACATGACGTTTCAATAAGCAAACTCTGAAAAAACATCTCAAAGGGTACAAAGATCAGTCTGGAAGAATATATCAGCAAGGCTCCTCAAAGATTGGCCCTGGACCTAAAAAAATCACGTGTTTTCATTGCTGCTTGGGGGACGGGACAGAGGAGAGGTATTAAATAGACATGCAGACCCCAAATGAAAAGAAGGTACCAGAACACTGGTGAAAGGAATCAGAAGGACTTTGGCAAACTGGGTAGGTGGTTTGGAAAATGCTGGCAATTCAGCAAGGACAAATGCCAAGTTACATAGTTAGAGAACAATGAATTGCACAAATATGTGATGAGGAATCGCTAATGGGGAAATTCCTCAAAAAGGCTGAGAGGCTGGATTGATCACAGGCTGCTGCAAATAAGCCAAACTCCAAGGTACAGAGGATAAACAGGGAAGCTGTCAGCTGGATGTGAAGAAATGCCTCTGCTCTGCCTTGTGTTAATAGAAGGGCAACCGAAGTACTGCAGAACGCTTTGTGAACTGCACCTCAAGAAAAACATGGGAGAGGAAAACACATGGACAAAAGACCACAGGGCTTTAACAAAAGGTTATAAAATATGACAACAGAG